AAATTTATGTAAAAATTTTTTTTGGAAATTTTATGTTTTTTTTTTTTTTGCTTATTTAAAAGTATGAGGGACATATAAGTTTTTTTTTTTTTTTTTACAATATCCGAATTGTCTTTTTAAATGAGAATTATTATTAGCGATAAAATGTGCTAACTGATAGAAGGTTGAAATTAAAAATACAACGAAAAAAAAAGGTTATGAACATGAATGCAACAATTAACAAAGATTAAAAACTTTTAGTTCAATTCTAAAGTGGTGACACAAAAGAAATTTATTGACAATATAACCTCTTGTTTGAACCCTATTTTTTCGGGAAAAATATGAATTTTGTAATAGTATTTTGTCGTATAATGTATGGTTAAAATGTAGATTTTTTTTATTTACATGAAATTATTTTATTGAGAAAATGCGTTGTCGAAAATAATTTTTTTAATAATGGAACTCAAATGGGGGCAATGTACCCAAGAAATATGAAATTGTCATAAAAAATTAAATACAAGGAAAATAGAGCATTTTTTTTTTTTTACACAATTTCCCTTGCGACCTATTGGAAATGTGAAGACTTCGTTAAATATTATTTTTAATTTCACTTTTATTAAAATTTTATAAATTTTTAATCACGTATTCTTATAAATGTTCAAAAGCTTAGCCAAACAAGCACTAATAATGACACGTATTAAATTAAAACTAGTACTTTGCTTTTGCTAAAACCACACCTCCAATAAAAGAAAAGTAGTTTGAACAACCGCCCAGTGTGTGCGCTCGTGATCATTTTGTCAACTTGTTCAACTAGTCAAATTGAATTCTGTGGCCGGATCGTGAATTTTTTTACTTGACCAACCTCAACTAGGAAAAAATCGTACGTACAGAAAATTTCATTACAAAAGTTTTATAGATGCTGCGTTGGCAGCATCTGATTGAATCTATTTTTTGTCCCTTTTGTCATGGACAAATGAAAAGTCGTCAAATGCATATTTGTAAAAAATCTGTGAACTAAAATCTGTACCTCTAACATTGTTCAACTAGGAAAAAATCGCATGTATAGAAAATTTCATTACAGAAGTTTCACAGATGCTGCGTTGGGAGCATTTGATTGGATCTACTTTTTGTCCCCTTTGTCATGGACAAATGAAAAGTCGTCAAAAATGCATATATGTTAAAAACCCGTGAACTAAAATTTGTACCTCTAGCATTGTTCAACTAGAAAAAAATCGTATGTACAGAAAATTTCATTATAGAAGTTTTACAGATGCTGCATTGGCAGCATTTGATTGGATCTATTTTTTGTGCCTTTTGTCATGAACAAATGAAAAATCGTCAAATGTATATCTGTAAAAAAATATGTGAACTAAAATCTGTAACTCCAGCATTGTTCCCTCAACTATTTATGTTTTTGAGTATCACATATATCGGTGATCACTTTTTAAGTCATATACTATCTAAAATGAGGTCAATATAACTAAAATGTTTGTGTGAAGAAAAAGGGTTTGAATAAATTAAATTATAATTAGCCCTAGAACAATTCTATCTTTCTTGTGGTATAATCAATTTTAGATGATAAAATTCTCAAAAAATGGTCAGAAATGTACACTCAAATCTAAAAATATGATTGATTGGTGACATTTTTGAAAAGTAAACAGAAGTATTTAGAGCATATTTGGGAGTGACTAAAATTCAATTAAAATTGAAAATATAGTCGTTATTGGATCTCATTTGTCTAATAAAAGTCAACAATAACGGTTAATTTTTCAATTTTAGTCTGATTTTAATCTCTACTGAACATGCTCTTAATATTATTAAAAATGTCTATGATATTATTTAGTGTTTGTTCGATTCGGTTAAAAAGTTGATTAAAATTTAAGTTCAAGTCGAACAATTAATTTTCACTATACATATTTAAGGAGATTCATACTTTTTAATCACACTTTTTTATCAAATGACAGGGCTCCAAATGTAAGGCGTGTTCGGTAGAGATTAAAATCGAATTAATATTGAAAAACTAACCGTTATGAGTGATTTTTATTAAACGAGTGAAATCAAATAACAATTATATTTTTAATTTTAATTTGATTTTGAGTTGTACAGAGAGACAAGCTCGCAATATGATCTGAGCCGTGTTAGGTGTACAGTCAGCATAAATCATATGCTATTGCCACCCATAACTCCAGTAAGTACTCCCTTAAATCCTTGCGATGCAGACAGCCAAATCCACGACAAAAATATATATTTCCCTTTGACCCTCGACCCCACCTATAAAATTTGCCTTGTACTGAATCGAGATCCCTTTGTTCTCGGCTTTTTCTTTATCCAAATTCTCATTTTTTGAACCTCAGGAAAATTGAAAATGGTGGAATTGAAAGGGGGAACTAGGCCGCCATGGGTGGGACTTGGAGCTGCAGTTTGGGTGCAAGTAGCAGCTGGAAATGGCTACAATTTTCCGCTGTATTCTCATTCATTAAAATCGGTTCTAGGATTCAACCAGCGGCAACTCACTATACTTGGAGTGGCAAATGATATAGGTGAAAACATGGGGATCCTCCCTGGTTTGGCCTGCAACAAGTTCCCACCTTGGGTGATTCTGTTGATCGGTTCTGTTTCTTGTTTTTTGGGCTATGGAGTCCTCTGGCTTGCACTCAGCCTTACTGTTCACTCCTTGCCTTATTGGCTGGTATGGTATTTCTCTTTTTATAATTTTTTACTTCTTTGTGTTGCTAAGTTGTTGACTGTGTAGAGTTTAATCATACTGTACCTTTTGACACATAATATCAACCTAAAGATCATACTGTTTAACTGATTTTAGGAGATTGGTTAGCTTCGCTTGGTTTCGATTTTTATTCTGTTTAGTGCAGCTGTCTTAAGAGGAATTGGGGCTTAATCCATAACATTAATTTTGAAGAAAGGGAAGAGAAGAACTATTAACAAGTTATTCTAATGCTGACTGAAGTCATAATTTTGAAATGGCAAGATTATACTTTGTAGGCGTGATTGAATAATCTTTTACAAGGATCATTTTCAGATAATATTGACATTGTTATGTAATGTAATTGTTATTCAATTTAGATGTGTTTTATGCATTTCACTTCTGAAATGAAAAATTAAAGAGGCTTAGCATTGATTTGAATCTTCTAGTGATCGTAGCGAATTCTTGTCGTTTAAGTCTTTTTGATAAAAGTAATATGTAATTTGTGTGGGATTTCTATATGAAACCAGTTGGGAACATATTGACTCGTCACTCATGCCTTGTGTATGTTCAAATTTAAAGTCTTCAATGTTGTGAGGACTTGTTAAAGTGTACGGGGTGCTCACACTAGAGATACGAAGAAACATATGAATGGAGATCTGGTCTCTCAACCTTTAAACAAAAAATTGCTTCAAATGACTTGGTTACGTGAGTATATACAAGATTTCCAAACTGTGAATCTAAGCAAGTGTAAGCATGGATAATGTTTTAAAATGGCTTTCTTGCATCATCCGTGGTGAAAATAGCCACACCTTCTAACTTTTTCTCTAGCATTTATTTTTTTGTTGAAAGTCTTAAATTTCCTTCTTGTAAAAAATCTCCCTTTTATAAACTATTTCAGAATGGCCTAGGTGAAATTTTTAAAAGGACCTTTTCCGAATCCAACTTATCATCTTCTTCACCTACCCCATCCCTTCTACTCACTACTGTTGTCACCTCAAGACCATGTCGTGCCGCTGAATCACCCCTTTCCTATCACCCTTGATTCCCATTAACAGCCCCCCTCCCTCCCATATTTTTACTCACTTCACTATTTTTTCCATTTACTCAGGAGATTCCTGAACTCTCTAGTACGAGGAACAGAACAGAGGAGTCTAATAGTTTAAAAATAGGTAAAGGTGAAACAGGGGGTGGGGACAATGGGGAAAGGAGGAGAGAGGGGAGGGGGCTACGGTATAGGTGAGTTGGGTAAGAACAGTAGGGTGCGAAAGAAGAAAGGTAAGGGTAGATATATGACCACTAAAGGAGTCTTGATTACGAAACTTTAAAAAAATGAGGCTTTTTTCGTCTCTCTTTCAAACTTGGATCTTCTTAAACAATTTCCTCCGCGGCCTTTCTCATGTTACTGGGTTGGTTTTATTTGCCTGTAACTTTTTCTGCTCAGTGAGATGATCAAATCTCTCAAGTGTCACGCAATGTTCTTATTTCTTCTATTTAATATGGTTCAATTTTACATGCATTTAACCGCCATTTTCATGTTAAAAGTTGCTTGTTTTGATCTTTGATGTTGTATAAGTTACATTAAACTTGTGGAAATTGGATGGATTTCCTCCATCAAGTCCTGAATTAGTCATTTTTCAGTACTTCTTTTTCTAGAATATAACTAATCTTGGCTCACTGGCAGTTGTGGGTTGCTTTATGCATTGCGACAAATAGCACTGCTTGGTTTGGCACGGCAGTGCTCGTGACTAATATGAGAAACTTCCCACTTAGTCGTGGAACAGTTTCTGGCATTATCAAAGGATATGCAGGGCTTGGTGCTGCTGTTTATACCGAAATTTACAGTGTAATGCTTCATGATTCTTCGGCTAAGCTATTATTGTTCTTGGCACTCGGGATTCCTGCTATATGCCTTTTGATGATGTATTTTGTTAGGCCTTGTACTCCAGCTTCTGGTGATGATTCTTCGGAACAATGCCATTTTCTCTTCATCCAAGCTGCTAGTATCGTGCTCGGCATATATGTGCTTACTACTACCATATTGGATGATGTGCTCACTTTAAGTGCTCCTGTTTCCTATACTTTTCTCGTTGTTATGGTTCTCCTTCTCATGGCTCCACTTGCCATTCCCATAAAGATGACTTTCTATCCCTCCAACAACAACAAATCTGCCAAACTCGGCCAACGGGTCGGACCAGCAAATTCTTCAGATCAGGAAAATAGCAATACGGATAACATGGAACCGCTTTTGACGCCATCTTCATCTGCGGCTAACCTTGGAAGTTTTCATGACAATGACGACATGACTGATGTGGATATGCTTCTTGCTGTAGGAGAAGGTGCAATAAGGAGGAAAAAGAGGAAACCTAGAAGAGGAGACGATTTCAAGATCACTGAAGCTTTGATCAAAGCAGACTTCTGGCTTCTGTTCTTGATATCCTTTGTTGGGGTTGGCACTGGCATTACTGTTCTGAATAACCTGGCACAGATAGGAATAGCTCAAGACATGAACGATACAAAGATCCTGTTAGCCCTCTTCAGCTTCTGCAGTTTTGTCGGCCGCATTGGTGGAGGTGTGGTTTCTGAATATTACGTCAGGTCAGGTAACTTGTCCCTTTAAGATAGCAAACTTAAAGAAATAGGAAAGAAATTGTTGGGATGGCGAAAACAGCAAAACATCAACAACAACAAACTAAGTCTTGTTCCAATAAATGTGGGTTCTGCTTCATGAATCTTTTTCGCCACTCTATTCAGTTCATTGTTAGATGTACTGGGAGATATAAAGCTATTAGATCTTAAGCAACTAAAACATGCCTTGCATATTAGGATTCATGTCATAAGATTTGAAAAAGTGTACACTTCAACTTACCACAACCTCCTCCTTTACCCATACTTGGGACCAGCTATTTAAAACATAGGCAGATGATGTTGACGCCTACTATTTTCAGATTCACCTTAAAGTATCTCTAAACATTTGATGAATTAGTTGAGTGCGCATTATAAAGATTTACATTGAACGCATATAAGAGATTTATTACAAGAAATTATCACAAGTTACAGAAAAGTTTACCATATATTCTAAGATACATATTTTTTATCTTTTCTAAACAACAAAATATGTATTTTTTCCCCTTTTCACACGTTCAATTTATTCGCTAGGTTTTCTTGTACAACCACTCTTGACCTTTTCCCGATTTCATCCTCGTGAACAGTTTTGAGATTTAGCCTATTGCATACTATTTAAGTTGCAAACTCAATTTTGTTTCTACAATATTACTTTGAGTTTGACGGGACGTTAAAGATATGGAAATATTTTTAGATATCATCTGAGATATTTTTTGTGATTTCTTATATTATTTCTGATTGTGCAATTAGTATAAAATGTTACCTTTCATAGTAATTTGTAACTCTATATTAGGTTCATTCGCTTTCCAATTCCTATGCCCAAGAGTACTTGGACAAATTTCCCTATTGTTTTTGGCATTTCTTGTTCCAATATTCAATTTATAGTTTCTAAGATGAAGAATGCTATCTCAAAATATAGTATTTCATCACGTTATTTATCTTGCAACTTGCTATAATTTGCCGTGTAAATGTACTTGCAGATCAAAAGCAATCCCCAGAACAGTTTGGATCATACTTGCACAAGTAATAATGGTAGTGACATACCTTCTCTTTGCTTCAGCTCTTGATGGTACTCTTTACGCTGCAACGTTGTTGCTTGGAATCTGCTATGGCATTCACGCGTCTATCATTGTCCCAACAGTCTCTGAGCTTTTTGGCCTTAAACACTTTGGCATTATTTCGAATTTCATGGGACTGGGCAATCCAATTGGTGCATATCTATTCTCGGGTTTACTTGCTGGATATCTGTATGATAAAGAGGCAGCGAAGCAACATTCTGCTACTTGCTTGGGTCCAGATTGCTTTAGGCTCACCTTTCTGATTATGGCCAGTGTCTGCTGTGTTGGCTCTGCGCTTAGCATTGTTTTGACATGGCGGATAAAACCCGTTTATCAAATGCTGTATGCTGGAGGATCCTTCAGGTTACCTCAAAGTTCTAACCACTAATAGACCAAAATGAATGGGGACGGACTTTCAGCTGTGGATTGATGCAGGTGCAGGCCTTGATGATGCTACCCATATATTTAGTAGCAGCACCAGAGTTTTAGTTTTCTAGCCTGAGGTTTTTATGCTTGAGGTTCAGGTTCATAACAATGGCATTTTAAGCCTTTGCGCATGTTTGATATGCACTATTGGGTATATCCCCGTGTAATGAATAAAATCCTGACTTATTTTTATCTTTAACACTGCCCAATAATGTTTAGTTTACCTTATCGAATATATCATTATTTGCATTTAAAGGCTAGTCTGTAAAATATATGGAAATCTGTCTCGGTAAGAAATGGCGTTGCTGTCACTTCTTTGATTCCGAGCATCGGAAGGAGAAACCGAACTTTCATTTATTCGAGCATAGATGACTTATTTTGATTATCAAAATAAGCAAAAAGTAATATCGAAATTGGTTTCACTTTCATTAAAAGTAATACAAACGCAAAATAAAGGATGGGACAATCTAGACTTGGTTCAACTTACAAGCTTGACTAGTTCACCTTGTACACGCACTCGAGGGTTTTGGACAAAATATCAATGAGGTAAAAAGTACCATCACAAGAAACAAAGTGCAACCTAATATCATGTTTGACCAAGCTTAAAAGTTACTCACAAGTGACTTTTGTTGGCGGAGTGTAAAAAGAGAGTTCCAGGAAAAGAAAAAAATGAAGTAGCTTTTAAGCTCCTTTGAAAAATTATAAACCTCCAAATTGCTCACACTCTTCAAGTTGGTTTCATATCTTGAAACATTATGGACCATAGTGACTGATCCCCATCATGTTCACCCCCAATCTTTCCCTTATCACAGTATCTAACTTTTGGGCTCAAAGCCCATCCATCTATAGGACCAGATACAGTTGGGCTTCTACACAAAAAGCCCATCCTCTCTTTCCCCCTTCCATATATGGGCCTGGTAACAATTGGGCTACAATTTGCATGCATCTTGCCATCTAAAGGCCCAGATATACTCAGACTTCTGCTTGTCAGCCTCGACTTTTCTTGCCCTCTTCTGTCCAAAGGCCCTGATTTCAGTTTCTTCTCCATATCAGGCCATTGAATTCTGTAAGGAGTGAGCTGTGAAATGGGTATTTGGCTTGATTCTTTTTGAAGAAAACCCCATTTTCCAAAATTCTTGGAGAGGAGCCTTTTGGTTTTGTTTATTGCAAGAATAAACCTGGAAAAGCCATTTAGGCTTCCCTTTAATTCCTTCATTGCAAGCTTGAGAATTTCCAGTCTGTGTTTGGCTATACAGATGCCAACGCTTTGGAGAAATTCATGGTTAAAATAGGCTAAATCCTCTTGTCGAAGCTGATTTTGAGTGAAAACTAGACCATATTCATAGACAAAAGTTGGATGCAGATTAGTTTTTGAGAGCCATGAATACCAGTCCATGGCTAACTACTCGTCCACAGATTTGGAATCTAACACAAACACATGTATTTATATGCAATAAGTCTCCCATCCTGTCCCATTCATAAGAGCGATATAATGGTGATACAACGTGTTAGAAGACAAAAAAGTGCACGGTTGATTTCATAATTGAATATAAAGGTAGAAACGGATTCACGCTGTTGATCAAAAAGACTTAATTTTGTTAACCATCCCATCTAAATAGTAAAGCTACCAAAAATATGTCTCTATTCATTTAAATTTTATCTTCGATACGTCTCCTTGTATGCCTGCTAAATTTGTATCTAAATAAAATTCTAGCGCGTTAATAATTTTTATAAACGTATAACAGTTCAGCTAGACTTGAAGTTGAATATTTTGTATACCCTATTAATCATCTCATCTAAAAACTTAATATGTTCGTTTTGTTGTTATTGTGACAATGTATGTACTTATAATCCAAGGGAAAAAGTCATCAAGAGTGGGAGAAGTGGGAATTGTGCTTGAAACTTGAAAGTAATGTGCATGAATGTTGTGGGGTAAATGATAGATGTATAACTAATATCTTACCATGTCTTTCTGTGGAATTCAAATGGTAGTTGGGAAAACCAAGGCATTTGGTCCTCTTAATATAGATTTTCAAATGTTAGGTAGGGATTTTTAATGAATGATGATGATTAAACAGGCACAAAGATATGAAATGGATGGACGACTGACTTGGCAGCACCTGTTTGGAAGTTTGTATTTTTTTTTTTTTGTGTTTTTTTTTTTTTTTCAAACTGTCCAATTATGTGTCGACACTTGTCTTCCATTTTTTAAATATGTCTTTGAACCTATTTGTGTAGCACAATTGATTTTTAATTACAGTTAGCATATGTTTGCACTGAATTTGGTTGAATGTTAACTACTCATTAATCATAATTGCCAACCACTCTTGACCACTTGAAAGTAACAATTAATTGCAATATCTGAGGCTTCTTTTTCTTTGCCAAAATACTAGTATTAAAGCCTGAGGGCTGACTTTGATTCCTTGGGAAACTCAGCTAGTAAGATGGATAAGTACAAAAATCAACTTTAAATTTATATTCATGTAAATAAGTAACTTAAAAAATACGAAAAAAATATCAGATGACCCAAAAAATTGTGCATATGTGGTCTTTGATAATATACTATGACTAAATTCATTACATCGTTTGGTGGTCGGCAAAATGAAGTTGGCAAATGTATTCAACGACGTTGTATAGAATATCTTCTTTTTTGATTATTAATTTAAAGGACCAAAATTTTCGTTTCAATGACCACTTAATTGGTCATTTATGCAATATTTTTGCCTTCAATCATAATTGAAGAAACCATAAATTTTTGTTTCGATGACCACTAAATCGGTCCGACTATTTTCGTCTTCAATTATTTATAATTTAAGGGACCAAAATTTTTGTTTGTGGCTACTCGTTGGGTCGTTATATTGAATATTTTCGTGGGCTAAACTAACGTGAAAGTTGTAGTTGTGGGCTCATACAACTGCCCATAACATTTTGGTTAAAAGTCCAAACTACATAAATAGCATTAGGGCCCAAATATTGGTTGGTACTTACAAAAATACCCCTTAATATTAGTGGTGTTTTGAAAAATCACATGAAAAGTTTTTAGGAAATAAAAAATACTGTGTAAAATGAAGAAGTGACACAATGTCACATTTTTTATAAAAATTGTCAATTTTTTACTTTTTTTAAAAAAGTGACACAAACTCAAAAAAAGTGACAAATACCAAAAGAGCACCATCCATTTGTACAGCACCATTAATCATGTTCTTAAAATAATCACAACGTTCAGGTCAATCCACATGCTGATTATGTTAGGAAAATATAACATATTATTTAATTTTTTATCTTCTTAAAATTGACAAAAACTAAAAAAAGTAACAAAATTCAAAAAAGTGACGAATTCAAAAAAGTGGCACAATCACCAATCAAAAACATCCAAATTGTCTTGAGCAAACATGAACATGAGCAAATATAAAAGGTATTTTGAAAATAAAAAATATTGTGTAAAAAGTTACACAATGTCACACTTTTCATAAAAAAGTGACAATATGTCACTTTTTAAAGTTAAGTATCACTTTTATTAAAAATTAATGTTTGCCACTCAAAAAAAGTAATGATAATTTCAAGAAAGTGACAGAAAATTGAAAAAAAAAAAAAAAGTTTTCATCCCTTTCTCTTCAAACGTCATATAAAAATTTCTGCTATAATAATTTTCAACTTCCTATGGATACTTTCTGGAAGCAAAATTTGGTTGAGATATTTCTCTTCAAACGTCATATAAAAATTTCAGCTATAGTAATTTTCAACTTCCTAGGGAGACTTTCTGGAAGCAAAATTTGGTTGAGATGGAACTCGAAAAACATACAAATTCCGACACAAATTCAAGCCAAGAAAGTGATCGCGTTGAGGAGAAAATCAATGATGTTGACAACACCGACATTGGAAGATCATACGAGTGTAATTTCTGCAAGCGAGGCTTCACAAACGTGCAAGCTTAAAGAGGACACACGAATTTACACAGGAAAGATAAAGCCAAGGCGAAGCAGAAAGCACAAGGGGGATCTTCAATTCAGAATAAATATTCGAATGAAGATCATTTGGATTCAAGAATTTTCCCTCCAATTCCAACCTGTGATCAACATCAAACAAACAATTATTTTGTCCCGCGAGTGAACTATCAAGTCTGCCCTCAGCAAACCCTACTTTGGCGATCTTCATTAGAATTATTTGGCAGCTGTTTGGAGGCAAGAACGTTTTGATCTGCTCGAGGATAACAAGGATGCAAACCTAAGCCTGAGGATTGGTCCCCCAATTGTATTGTTTAATGTTCATTTGTATTCTCTCTCTCTCATTTGTAGCCATGAATTGGCTATATGTTTCTCAGTGCGTGTGATCAAGGGTTTGGAAGGTTTTGGGGGTTTTTCTGTGTGCGTGTCCAAAGGATGCTGGAAGGGTTTTTAACGTATTTATTACGTTATTAAATGTTTTAGTTAGTTAATAGGGTATTAATCAACTTAGTTAATTTTTTAGGGTATTGGGCCTAATTTGCCCTAATTTCTATTTGCAAAACTAGAAAGGCAACTTATAAAAATACCCTTGAAATTAAGGGTCTTTTGAAAAATCATATAAAACATATTTTGAAATTAAAAAATACTTTGTAAAATCAATTGTCACTTTTTTTAACCCACTGTCACTTTTTAAAGTAAGTGTCACTTTTTTTTTTATTAAAAAATGACATAAAATATCATTTTTATTAAAAATTGATGTTTGTCACAAGAAAAAGTGATAGAAATCAAGAAATTGACTAAAAAAAGTGATAAACATTAAAAAAAAGTGACATTAAAAAACGTGACGAATTCAAAAAAGTGGCACAAATTAAAAGAAGTTATACATATTAAAAAAGTGACAGACAATAAAAAAGTGACAGACAATAAAAAAGTGACAAACACTCAAAAAGTGATAAAATTCTTAAAAAAGTGACAAACTCAAAAAAATAAGTTTGTCACTAAAATAGTGACAAAATTCAAAAAAAAAAGTGACAAA